TAATTTAATAATAACATTACGTGCATCAATGATAATATTTTAATAGTTGCGGTCACAGTGTATGCGGTTGACAACTTTCCTGTCGCGCACGACTCGGGCCGAAACCGTGACCGCGGTATTATATTGCTACCTGCGGTACGTACCGGCCGTTCACCGGCATACCAGGCTCTCGTTGTCGGCCGCGCATTGTCCGTCTGGCGGCGACATGAACACCTTGCCGTTACCGCACACGCACAGCTGGTACACGCTGGGCAACTTGTCCTCGGCACCCCTTTTTTTTGAGCCGCCAATGGAATTCTGCTGACCGGTCGACTTAACACCACCACTATCGTCTCCACCACCAGATGTCGCAGGCGCCGCCGCTGCCAAGTTGACCGGAGACAYGGTCTTGGCCGTTTTCAGACCCTTCAGGAACACCTTGGCCGCGTCAATTTGTATCTATACACGATTACGTAATATAATAATAATAATAATAATAATAATAATAATAACAATATTAATAACAATAATAATAACTATAATAACGATAATCATTGTAATAATGATAAAAATAACTATAGTGATGAATTAATCGAGAATGAGTATACACAAAAAATCGTCAAAATGTATAAACACAATTTACCACGGCCTATCAGTTTAGGTATCCCCTGGATTCAGGAAAAATAAACTTTAATTCGATAATAAGATTCCCTATGTAATTTTGGTACTCCCGGAAATCCAGAATAAGGAATATTCTCGTTCCTGGGAGTTCTCAATATAGCATCCAGATAGACAATTCGCAGTATATAAAAAACGGCCAAATATGACAATATTTTTCAATAATTATCTTTTGTGATTATAAAGGTACCTCWAGTCGATGTGTCTTGAATGTAAATAGTGTACACTTCTACTATAGTACTATTTTATCATTAGGTAAAGTTGTAATATTTTTAGCTGAAAAAAAATGTAATTTTGTTTCTAGTATAAATACATATTTAGGTATAGCTTTTTAAACCATTCAACTATAGATGACACCTTTTAACTAGTTATTAGACTCTGTAAGAGGAATGAGGAAAATCTAAATAAGATTAAAAATTTAAAATATTAGAGAAATAAGAAAAATGTGATTTATTGTATAAATTGTATTCAGTTTATATTTAATTAATATTATAAGTTATACAATACGTGTTGAATTAGATTTTTATCTAGTAGGATTTTTTTTTATTAATGAAAAAAACTAAGTGAGCCGTAATTAAAAAGAAAATAGTAGGAAAGATGTTTCCAAAAATATAATAAAAAAAAAAAATAAACAACTTGAGGCGTACAACTTACCGGTCGATCTTTTTTGGGAGGCATAATTTAAGAGGTAGCACATTTTATGAACTATGAAGTGCACAGTTAACAATAATTCAGGGATATATGTTATAATTATAATGAGAAATATATAATGATAATAAGCAATCATCACTAAATATAGCAAAGAACAAACAAGAAACGACACTCTGCCGTGTGATAAAAATATAAAATAGTGGAGGCTTGGCTTTGAAGTTACGATCGAATTACTGGAGGCTCCGCCTTGAAGTTAGTACCGGGTTTCGTTTACAATAAACCACATGTATAGTATTATTATTTATTGGTATTATTTAAAATGACAAAATTGTCATTATAAGTAAATTATAAGGTTTGTTCTTTGGTATAAGTTAATTGTTAACTTTTAAGTTTCAAATGTGACAAAAATTATTGTGTATATCATTATATTTACAAAATCATGAAAATAAATTAATTTATTATCAAGAATCAAAATTGTTTAATTTCTTATCAAAACTTTTTGGCCAGCATGGCACATGGCGGCATCCAAGATCAACCATTTATTTAACATAGAAAAATTGGGAAGGTCGTACTCCTGCTAATAGTAACCATTTATAATTAAAAAAATATTAAAAATGTCTATTTGAACATTCCCCGGGCTTAGGCCTATGTTCTACCTATAATAGGTCTAATATTATCTTTGTACCAAATTTCACCGTAATCGGTCCAGTCGTTTAGGAATGCATAAAATTCAAACAAACAGAAATCCATTTACACACACACACACACATGGATAATTATAATATTATAATAAACAGACGAAATAATATCAAATACAATAATTTAAACTTTATATAAAGTGTAAACTAAAATCATATTTTTTCGAAAATTTTGTTTTCGAAACAACAGCAATCGTTGTCTTTTGCAGAAAACAATTTATACATTACAATAATAATATATTAATGTTTTTCAGTATAGTGACGTTACATTCAAAACCATGCGGTATAATATATAAATTACATTTGTTGAATTGGGTATGTGTACAATGTTTATTAAAATTTACATTATTCTGTAAAATTGTGAAATTGGGTTGCTGCTTTTGAAATTCTCTAGGAATATTTTTTTTTTTTTTTATTTTTTTATTGGTTAAGCATCAACTACATAGGTTATTAGCTTACATGTGTTAATTTCTACATTAAATGATTATATGCTTCTAGGAATATTAGTCGGTATGCTAAACGTATAATAATCTGTCTCAAACAATAAATGCTCAAGAGGATGTCTCACCCACTTGTATTGTTTCCGTCTTAGAAACGAGATTATACAAATATTATATAGGTATTATAGTGTTTAAAGTCAGTGGTAAAACGTAGAGAAATTACATTCAGCAGAACCAATTTTKTCTTGTTAGCTTTAATAATACCTATATCAGAATTAATTAATATTTTATCAAACATAATGGTAAAAATCATATTTATATATGTTTTTCACTATATTTTAGTTTATATTTTATATCCAATTGTTTTTCAATTGTAATATTTTACATAATCATAACCCACATAAAAGTAAAAATATTATCAAAAAGCCACTTCAAAAAAACATATATATATAGGTAATGTTCTTAAATTTAAATTGATGATATGTCGATTTATATTAAAGCCAACTACACAAAATTGGTTCAGCTGAACGTAAATTTTCAGTGTTTTACGTTTGTAAGTTTGRGCAGAAAATATTATTGATTTCATACATTAAAAAAATATAATTTTAAATCAAATATGTGTTAAATTATTTTTATTTTGATCCTTGAGGGAAACATTTGACCGAATCGAAAAATTCAACCACGAGACGAATCTAAAATTATAATAATATTATATTTTTTCCAACACGCCGATTGATTAGCATTCATATAAAAACATACGTTTAGAATGAGCCAATGCAATTAATTTGACGAGGAAGGTAAATTTATGTTATCACAAAACCTCTATAATTACTGTAGAGTTATTATTCATCATTTTTTTTTCTTCAATAATGGGAATTTGAAAATACAGTTTTCCTAGAATATAAATATATTGTAGTTTGTGAAATAGTTTTTAGTAGTTATAATATTGTAAAGAAACTAAAGACTTCAAAATATGGAATAATTTAGAAAATAAAATAGAATTTAGAGACTTTGTAGAATCTAATAATAGAATATCTTGAAACAGATTTATGTTTTTGAAGTCACCTTTCATAAAATTACTTATCAAGTCATTCATATAAATATCAGCTTACGATTASTAATAATTTATTTTGTTTTGTAAATATTCTAGTAGGTACTGAAAAAAGTACCCATGTTTYGCATCAAGTATTTGCTATAATAAGAATGTAGGTAAGAGTCTATACTATATATGTAAGTGTATCAGTATTACTGTATTAGACAGATTATAAATTGTTGTGTAAGAATTATAACGATGTAAAAAAAAAAATATCTAATATCTAAATACACACCGCTCCTGCTATCGACTGCAATTTGACGTCCATCAGACACGATACAGTTATGTCACCGGCCCTGGACTCAATAGTCACTCCTTGGGGACCACTCAACTCTAGTCTCCGAGACGCTGACTCCAACCTAAATATATATTAAAGTTATTATTATATTATATTATACTTACTACAAAATTACATATTATTATTACACTGACACGAGAATTATAATAATTTACTACCAATATAGGTTAATTTAAAAACGAATATGGCCAATTGATCATTACCTACATAATAAAAATAATAAGTAATAATAATATCGACTTAGAAATATTCCTTACATAGATATAATTTATCAGACTCTCTCTGGTGAGAGTTTCATTTTAGATATTTGGATTATCAGCCATATTTATAGCCATATTTTTAAATTGCAGCTCAAAAGTTCAGAACTTAAGTCCTACTATTTATTTATCAAATTGGTTTGTGACACTTGTCATAAGTAGTATTATCGACTTTTTAAATTAAGTATTAATCGATGAATAGCACGGCCTTCATTTTTTCTGAATCATATATGATTATTTTAAAAAATTATCTCAATTATTACAAACACTTATTTTTGCGAAAGTTAAACGCTATACGTGTATCTACTTTTCAATCGGTATCTTGGTTTAGGCTTTTTTATTTTTGAAAAATAAGCGACTATAATTCGTAAAACTTTTCAGTTCAACGTCTCGTTTTATTTACACAACAACAAAGTCCTTTGAGTTGAACATTTATTTTCATAAACATCGTTATCAACTTAAAATATCGTATGAATGGTCTTCTTCACCGAAGATAAAATATGCTTATTTGTTGATGATACTTATCTAATGTTTTTTTTTTTTTAAATTTAGGCAAATTTATCAAGTTAGGATTTTTATTAGATGATCAATATTGACAATATTGTTATACCTTACTAGTTTCATAAAGAGAGTTGCTACTGAATTTAAACTTTGCATGTAATAATTTGAATGCACATTTGTCATATGATGACGTTATGTATGTATTTAGTTAATARTTTTCTCACCTTAAATCGTGTCGAGAATCGGCTCGAACCATAGGCGTTTGGACGCTGCCTTGAAACACGGCACCGCCTGAACCTTTAAGTAAAATACACAGGTTTATAGAAACAYGATATCACTTTGGATAGGTTGGTCTCTATTTTACATTTTATGAGAAACTTTGACTGTTTATTATATTTTAATTGAGGTAATTGAGGTTTGAGCCCATTTAAAACTTTAAACGATAAATATTATAATAAGGTCTCCTACGGGATTTCATCAATTATCGTTTTTCATGTTTATTAATATTAAAGATACAACTGAACAACTGCAAAGAAAAACTTTTTTTTTATTTTCAATTTACAACAATAATAAAAATATCTGTATAAACTATAATCATATTATTTTGTCCCTTATTTTTGATTATCAATTCATTAAGTTAAAGAAAGGACATTTTAATTTTAAATTATATTGCTATATTTATAGCTCTTATCAATGTATATCATCAATGAATAAAAATACCGATAAAAAAAGTAACATTATAGTTTTTATTTTTATATTAAAATATATAACGAACATATTTCTTATAACACAATAATTACAATAATTAGTATTGTACGATTATTATGAAATTGATAATAGTTTACTAAAAATTGAATATTTTGTGTTTATATTTTTCGCAAACTTTTAATGCAAGTTAAACAGTTTTTCACTAAATTTAATTCCAATCATTTAATTAGTAATATGGTAGAAGGTAATTAAAATAATTAAATTAAATTCAGCGTGATTCAAACTTAAAATGGTAGATATAAATTAATGGAAAAATGGAAACTGAAACTAACCACTAGCCCAAATATTGTTATTGGCTTGGGTCTTACCAGCAGCGCAATTAATGGTTTTGGATGTCGAGCCTCCAACAACTCATAAAAGCGTCTTCAAATATATAAATAATTCTATAATATATTTAATTCTGCATAATCATTCGCAATTGATTCACGAACAGATAATAATAAAATAATGCATTCTACAATACCCGTGACTCGAAGTTCTTGGGCACCGACTATCACCTTACTCCGGTCTGCCGAGAACAGGGTCTCACCACGTGTATCAGTCACTCTGAACATGCTCGCTTGTGCACACTCCAAACCATCTTTAGCTATACAAAGGATCAAAAATAAATCGTTATTATTATTAATAATTACTACAATATTTTACACGCAGATCTGTGCTTGTCATATTTAATCACCACAACAGACCGGCAAAAAATATAATTTTAGGTAACTTAGTCATATTATTAATTTATAAGGAGATACCTAAGTAGATAACAATTATTGTATGAGACAGAGTTTAAAAAACAATTTTTTTTCCTTTTATTTCCAAACACATAACTGAATAGGTAGTGTTAATGTTATACGGAATTTCTAAATGTTTTACGTAAGATATCAACTGAATTGACTTGTGAAAGTATAGCTTGCAGCGGCTATCATCGTGATTCGAACAAAAGAAAATTTAAAATTTGAACTGCGTTAATAATATTAGTTGATATTAATAATTAATACTAATACTCTTATTAATATTGTTACAACTAGATAAATTGAAATTAAGAATACTAAGTCGTCTAAAAATGCATAATACGTCATTTTTATTTTTGAAAAGCGAACACTTAATACGTTGACATTTGGTTTTTCATTCGTAAACCCTAGCTGTTGTCGATATCCACATCGAACGTCTTTAATTTATTGATTTAATCATCATTTGGATAATCAGAAGCGGTGAAAATTTTTTTTCGCTGTGTAATTTGTTTAATATATAGTAGCTACAGGGTAATATTTCTTCAGTCTTCTAAATATCGCTCAGCCGTTAAAAATAGATCATATTTTGCTTACATTTGATTTATAAGAAAAGTTCTATAGAATTTCTCTCATGTTTTTAAAATAGTAACAAAGCAAAATTATCATCAATGTATAACGCACGAATTCATTCGGAACGTCATTACACATAAAATATGAAATCAATTTAGTATAGTATTGTTTACAATTCAATAATTAGAAAAATATGAATGTACCATAAACTCTAATTTTATTTTACATTTTTGAATATTCTACCAAATAAATAATACAATTATAATATACAGAGTGTAATAGATAGACCTGMCCAACAAAAAAAAAAATTGCTAACTCAACGTATGATAAAAATTGTTATATTATATGATAAGTAAATAATTTAAGAAATATACTCATGTCACCAAATTCTTAGAAATCAATTTAAAAAAAAAATTATTACTTAATTTAAAATTATTAAAAAATTCTAAAAATAAACTACTTGACTTAGATAAATATTTTTACCCTCAAAATTGTTCTTATAATCAGATTCACAAATGGGCTATTTTGAATTTATCCAAAACTTTTTTATTAAATTTAAATTTTTTACTTTCAGTACCAAAAA